ACACATTTTTAGCTTCCCAAGTGTAGGAATATGCCCACCTCACAAGGCTCACATGAGGATGAAATGAGTTAATACATGAAAAGGACTTAAAACAGGACCTGACTTGTAGGAAGTGCTATTATTATTTCCTAAACAGCTTGTTCCTGGAATGTGAATTTTATGTGAATTGGCAATTAAAAACATGTTTGGTATCCTGGGCCCTAGAGAGTTTTATATCTGAGGAAAGTGTAGTCAGTGCCATTGATGATTCATTTCACGTAATCCTAGAATTAGAGCTTTGCTACTTGTCACATATAAATACCTAAATACCCTACATGGTCACTGGGGGCTTTGGTTGTGTAATGGGCCTCACATCTGGACAGGTGGGTTCATTACTTGTCACTGGCACTCAAGCCCTTGTTGTCCCAGATGCCAGGGAAGGACACCACACACACCCCTGCCCAGCACACAGATAGGAGAGTGCCAGTCGGACTCACATTCGCTTCCTGAGAAATCCTTCCAAGAAGGTGGCAAGGGGGAGGGCAAACTGCCCTTAGAAAAGAGAATAAAGCATCCTTGTTTTCCTTTCTTTTGGGGGGAAGGAAAGTGCATTTTTGCTCACCCAGTTCTAATACCTGACCTTTTTATTGTATCCGTATAGTTATGGGAATAACTTCCCCTGGGCCTGCTCTTACCAAGTATGTGTGTTATTTCCTTCCCCCCCCTCCCCCCGCAACCTGAAGATGGAGGAGGGGAAAGGAAACACCAGTGCTGAGCTCTCAGGTTGCGCCTCACATGGAAGGCAAAGGAAGAATCTATTTGTTAAGAAGACTGTGATCCATGTCTGAATATGTTGACGTCTATGATACATTTGCCTTCTCTGAGTGAGAAGGGCTGTAGTGCCTCTATGGGCTCTGAGGCCTCAGCCAGGCTATTTCAAGAGCACGTCCAATGGTGGAAACTCTCTAATCCTCAATTCCTGCAGGAATCTGTTCTGTTGTCCTCTGCTGGTGGGGGAGGGGAGAAGAGCTACTCTCTGTGTGGTACAAAGGAAGCATGGTCTATGGATAGAATGAACAAACAGCCAGGGAGATAAGCAGAGATACACACGGTTCTGTGAGACTCTAAGTCAGAGCTGGAACAGCGCCACGCCTTGGTGGCCATCGTCGCGCAGTATCATTTGGGGATCCCGAAAAAAAGTGTATTGAAAATAGCCTTTGCCTGTTTGATGCAAATCTGGTCTTGAGACTGTTAATATCTAAAGTCTATTTTGAACTACTCATGACATTGTCTAAAATATCGGCTCCTTGATACTCCAGTACCACTGAAATTGCTGTGTTCTAGCAAACTTTGGGAAGTTAGCCACAGAGCGGAGCATGTGCCATGGGTGGGTTTGAGGTCTGGTCCCAGCGTATTTCTTGGTATCCATGTTTCTCTGTGTGCATTTCCAAGAGGCTCTTGGTCCCCAAGGGGAAGGACAGATGAGATGAAATCATTTGGAATATATCTATTAAAATAGCCATAACTCTGCTCATCAAAATAATGTGAATTTGCCTCAAGGGAGTGAGCACTCACATGCATTAAGACAACCAGGCTTAAGTTATCAATAAAGCCATGAAAATGGGGATGCTCATGCTAAAAAAAACAGAACCCTGCTCTTAGTTTCACGAGGACTTCCGTTGTACCTGAGGGTTTTCCACTGATTGTTCTCAGCTAATCTCCAAAGGCTAGTGGACACAGGAATCATTAGTAGCCTCTCTGTATTCTGTATGTTCATTGCCTTTATTGGGAAGAATAAGAATGCTGCTTTGCTTTAAGGGTTGGGTTGGGTTTAGGCAGCTGACTCTTAAAATTATATCTGCATGGGAGTCTTTATTATCAGAAGAGGCTACACAAACATTTACACATCTCTTAATGGACTGATTTTAATTGCACCAGTCAACGAGCATCCAATTAGCTCTGCTTCTTGTCTGCACTGTTTGTCATTGGGACTGCAAACATAATTAAGACTGGCCCCTGACTTTAAGAGGGTGACTATTGCATAAGGAGTGACAAGAATTACGATGATAGCCACTGAAAAGAGGTGGTTGGGGATAGTTTCAGGAAAGACAAAGGATTTCATGGACAAAGAGAGGAAAGGCAAACAGGAAGTCTAGACAGAGAGTGCCATGTGGATGAGCAAAGGCACATCAACCAGAAGCATCAGGAATCCGTGCCTAGAACAGGGGTGGCAAACTTTTTGACTCGAGGGCCACAGTGGGTTCTTAAACTGGACCGGAGGGCCGGAACAAAAGCATGGATGGAGTGTTTGCGTGAACTAATATAAATTCAAAGTAAACATCATTACATAAAAGGGTATGGTCTTTTTTTTTTTTAGTTTTATTCATTTCAAACGGGCCGGATCCGGCCCGCGGGCCATAGTTTGCCCACGGCTGGCCTAGAATGTTGAGTAGGGAATGTGGTGGCTCCATGAGGGAAGAGGCAGAAGAGAAATTCAGCTCAAGGGAAGCTTTGCTCCATTTGCCAAAGAGTTCAGATTATTATACCAAAGACAATCCTAGGATATTTATAAATATTCTCTGCTGGCTCTTCTCCTCGGGTCATCTCAGGTCACATCCACACCTTCCACTAATGCTTATGTCAATAACTTCAAGGGAACCAGGGAAAACATGTCAATATCTCTAAATATCTATGTTAACTCAGTTTTGTGGCCAAGGATGCAAAGCCATGGAGCAGGCTTTGGAGCAGAGAGAAACTATGCTATGTTCTACCATCCACATCACCTGAAGCAGAAAAGCAACCAATTTCATAGTCTTGTGAATAACACACAATCCTCCTTCCTTCCTATATAATAAATGGGTAATATGCAAATCAACCGAACGGAGGAACGACTGGTGGCTATGACGTGCACTGACCACCAGGGGGCAGACGCTCAATGCAGGAGCTGCCCCCTTGTGGTCAGTGTGTTCCCACAGGGGGAGCGCCACTCAGCCACAAGCCGGGCTCAGGACTGGCGAGCACAGTGGCGGCAGCGCTAAGGATGTCTGACTGCGGACATCCCCCAAGGGCTCCGGGACTGCGAAAGGGTGCAGGCCGGGCTGAGGAACCCCTCCCCCCACCACCAAGTGCACGAATGTCATACCCAGGGCCTCTAGTAGAATAACTGAATTACCACTGTGAGTTTTTGTCACTATACTTAATATATTTTGAAAGTTCAGATTATTTAAAGGAGGACAGAAGATGTCTGTGTATTTTCAAAAGGAGATGAGAAATATGACCCAACTCACAAAATATCCAGTAAGTAGATCTCTCTGCCTGAGTGTCCTGTAGACACTTCAAACTTGACATGTCTAAAACAAAACAAATTTTTCTCACCCATCCCCTATAAAAGGCTCTTCCTCTCATAGGCCCTGCCCAAGCTGAACTGTCTGAGGCCTGACTTCCTCCACAGCCCCCCTGTCTGTCTCCCCACAGCCCTAAAAGGCAGGATAGGGAAGTTTATTGACTGCGGCCTACCTGGGTTCTGATCCCAGCTAGGCCGCATACAAGCTGGATGATGTTTTTAGGACATGGGCTAAATGGTGTCCAGAGTGAGTTGTTACAACATCAAAAGGCCTAGGAACTGTACCATCATTGGAGGTAGGTGAAGGTATAAGTTTTCTTCCTTGAAAAGCAACTCCTGTGTTTTGAATTGTAGTCTACATCAGAAATTGTGTGTGTTAATAACCAAATCTTGCCCTGGCCAGTGTGGCTTATTTGGTTGAGCATCATCCTGTGCACCAAAAGGCTGCTGGTTCTCTATCGCTCTCCCTCTCCCTTCCTTTCTCTCTAAAATCAATAAAAACATATATTTTAAATGCCTTTTTTTAAAGAAAAAAGCTGAGTCCTTCCTAAGATATTCCCTAAGTCATAACACAGACCTATTTTATCAGTGTGTACACATTTAATTATGCCAAATAACTACTATAAATTTCTTATTTTTACTGGTGCCATTCAGTAGCCATGGTTCTGGTTAGACTAAGGCCGTGGACGGCAAAGTGCGGCTCGCGAGCCACATGCGGCTCTTTGGCCCCTTGAGTGTGGCTCTTCCTAAGCCTTAGGAGTACCTTAATTAAGTTAATAACAATGTACCTACCTATATAGTTTAAGTTTAAAAAATTTGACTCTCAAAAGAAATTTCAATCGTTGTAATTTGGCTTTGTTGACTAATGAGTTTGCCGACCACTGGACTAAGGTAGTCTGCCTTCAGAGAAGCTGCTGCTATTGCAAGATTTACCTTAAAGCGTAATTTCTCAAGCAGAAGTCCAGCAAATATGAAATCTTTCTTTAATTTTAAATTATCTTACATGAATGATAATAACTCTCCTGACCTATATACAGACTTCATAATGTTTGCCTTTTGCATGCTTTATATTTATTTTATCTTAGAGAAGTCGCTAAGTTTAATACAACTGATTCTTACATTTTTAATAATAGGGAAAGAAAGAGAATATTTATTAGATAATTAATATTCTTCTCAGCTCTCATGAAATATTACCCCCTTATAAAATATTCCTGAAGTGTACAATGTTTTTTTAGAGCCATGTAAAATATTAATATCAAGAAGTGATTGCTTTTTAAAGTAATGCTGCACGCTTTAACAAGCTCATCTGTAAGTACAGCCACTGCCACCAGTTGTGAATGGGATAAAAGTGGACAGGAGGCAGGTTTCAGCCAAACTTAAGTATTATAATCCATAAGCTTGTCTGTCAGTGGAACTGGAGCAGGCAGCCCGGGTAGTTTGAGTCTCTGATATTCCTCCAAAGGAGTTGCAGCACTTCTCTGTGAAGGAAACCAGCAGGAATGGGGGTGGATGTTGCTGTGATTCTCCTGGGAAGTAGCAGCAAGATGGGTCCACCTGAAATGGGCATCTCATTTGGGAAAATGGGAAGTAAAGAGTTGTATGAAGACAGGTGCCATATTACTTGGGATTAGTGGTAAACCTCACTCTCTGACCTCACTTTCCATTTCTTTCTCTACAGCGAGTGCTGATTTTCCATATAACCCAGGACAAGGCCAAGCTATAAGAAATGGAGTCAACAGAAACTCAGCCATCATTGGAGGTAGGTGATGTACAGAACAGGCTTTCCTGTGGCTACTCACCTGTGGGGAGCAGTCATTTTTTTATTTTAAAAAATATTTTTTAATTAATTCCAGAGAGGCAGGTAGAGGGAGAGAGAGATAGAAACATCAACGATGAGAGAGAAACATTGATTGGCTGCCTCCTGCACATCCCACTCTGAGCCTACAACCCAGGCATTTGCTGCTACTGGGAATCAAACCATGACCTTCTGGTTCATAGATCAATGCTCAATCACTGAGCCATGCCAGCCGGGCCAGAAGCAATAAAATATGGTCCAGGGGAAAAACAAGTTATCTAGATTTTTAGTATTCATTTTGCTATTTAAATATGGCTTCAGATTATGAAGTATGGATGTGGATAAACTGTGGAAATGTAACCTGGCTACTTTCTAATGCACACCTGTAAAAAAAAGAATAATGGTGAGCTAGCCAAATCTGAATATGTAAGTAAGTAGCTGAGAGGCAATAGCCATGACATGTCCTTACTCCCTCCCATCTTTTTTTACTTTCATGCTCTCATGTCCCAAATGGTCCAGGATAGCTTACTACAAACATTGGAAAGACTGTGCCATTCTAGTTTCAGAAAACTAATAAGCCAGAATATCTAATTTGTTCCAGTCTTTCCTTCTGACCATGGCTACCTGTAGAATAATTAGACTCTCCTGAGATAATCCTCATATTTGGATCAATATTGATAACCCTGTTGCCCATTGCCATATTCTCTTCCTGCTTCTGTCTTATTTCATAAAAGTGTTTCTGCCTCTCCGAGTATAACTTATATATGTATGATGCTGCTTAATCCCAGTTCCAAAGTTTGCCATATGCTTTTTCTGCATCTATTGAGATTATCATATGGTTTTTCTCCTTTATTTGCCCAATGTGATAAATTACATTGCTTTATTTTTTTAATGTAAAACCAATCTTGTATTCCTAGAATTAGCACCACTTTATCATAATATATTTTTTACATATTGCTAGGTTTGATTTTTAAATTTTATTTAAGAGGAATATTGCTTGATGATTTTCTTTTTCATAATGTGTTTGTGTGAGTTTAGTATCGGGATAATACTGGCCTCATAAAATGAGTTGAATAGGACTTCCTCCTCCTTTATTTTAAGGAAGATGTGTAGGCTTAGTGCTATTTCCTAAGGTCATGTTTTTTAGGTCTTCTAAATTCTTATTGATTTTCTGTTTAGTTGTTCTATCAGTTACTGAAAGAAGAGTGTTGAAATCTCCAAGTCCATAAATTGGTCTAATTCTCCTTTCAGTTCTGTTCGTTTTTGCAGTTACTGTTTTTGGAGGTTTGTGTTTTTATGGGAGAGGGTAGTGTTTGAAGAAACCATGGTGAAGTGGGGGGAAAGTATTGGTGGGATATGTAAGACTAAGTTTAACCTGTAGTCCTTGTCCTGTCTCCACCAGGGGTCATTGCTGTGGTGATTTTCACCATTCTCTGCACCTTGGTCTTCCTCATTCGCTACATGTTCCGTCACAAGGGCACCTACCACACCAACGAAGCGAAGGGAGCAGAGTCAGCAGAGAGCGCAGATGCTGCCATCATGAACAACGACCCCAACTTCACAGAGACCATTGATGAAAGCAAAAAGGAATGGCTCATTTGAGGGGTGGCTCTTTGGCTGTGGGATAGGGAGGGGGAAGGGAAAGGGACAAAAGCACCCTGCTTCATACTCTTGAGCACATCCTTTAAAATATCAGCACAAGTTGGGGGAGGCAAGCAACAGAAAATTCTTGAGACTGATCGTCACACACAAAAAATATATAATAATACTTTTTAATATTTCTTTATAGCTGAGTTCTCCCTTCTGTATCAAAACAAAATAATACAAAAAATGCTTTTAGAGTTTAAGCAATGGTTGAAATTTGTAGGTAAAATCTGTCCTATTTTGTGTGTGTTTAGAGGTGTTCTAAAAATCCATGGTAACAGGGCAAGTTTTCTACATTTTTAAGAGCCCTTAGAACGTGCATATTTTTTCTTGAGGAAAGCTGATGCACAGACACGTGGCCTCCAGCATTCTTTTCCTTTCACATATAGTCAACTTTTAATGGGCTAGTGTAGCTACTAGTTCATGTTCATATGATGTTTCTTTTTGATATCCTATAAATTGGAGAAGGAAAGAAAGAGGCAAAGAGAACCTATTATTTGCCAGTTTTCAACTAGACCTCAACCTGTGCCGATTTTCCCAGAGTTCCTGCCTGAAGCAGTCAAAGGAAGAAGGTGTGTGGCACCTGTGAGGTAACGTCATCATCAACACAACAGAGAGAAGCATTAAGTACCAGGGCAAGTAGTTTCCCAGTGGGATTGCTGGTTTTATTTTTCATTGAATTCTGTGAGATCATATTGTTCTATGTTTGTAGTCTTAGATCTGTTCAGTATCTGTACCTGTCACTGATTTTCCTCCGCTCTACCTACAACATACTGGGTTATGTTACATGGATGTGTAAGCATCTCATTGTAGGATTAGAGGCACATGTCATGATCCATTTGCTCTGTTTCTTTCATAGTTGTAGTAAGAATATGGACGCTGTCTGGCTAATGCATAAATTAAGTGGTTCTCAGTTTGCTTTAAATCTCTAGTTTTTAAGCCCCTGTGACAAACTAGCAGACAGTGAACAGACACAATAAAGCCAAGTTGTGATTGCTATTTGTATTTTTACTACTCTGGAATCCTTTGGGAAAAACACTGCCATGATTTACATCTCCTCCCTGTATTGCTCCATCTAAAACAGACATGCTGCGTTGGTTCAGCGATCTTCCTTGGCAGATACACTTGAGTCTCTGGTTCACCACAAACCTGGTCTCCAAAATTGCTTCTCAGAGAGAGTATCTGTCTAGTCATTTCACACCTCACTTTAGTCAGGAACTTTCACCAATTATTCCAACAAGTAACTCATTGATTTTATTTAAAAAATAATAGACTTATAGTATGTAAACTGATGGGACAGAGCTCCTATTGGAACATCTAAAAAATAATTTCACTTATTTAATAAAGGATTACATAAAAGTTATTTCTAGAATGAATACCATTTACGGTCATTATAGTTCAGGCTCTTATCCTTAATACTTTTTAAAAAAATTTTAGGCTCCAATATTTGACCACTTGTTTTCCTTCTCCTGCTAGGTAAGATGAGGTTAAAAAGGTATCAATGCTATTTTTCTCATAGCCTGCCTCGGTAAAATGGAAATTCTAGTTTACCTGTGTATATGCATACTTTTCCACTTACTGGGTATGCCGAAGTTATTGGAGGACCTCAATTTCCTGAGTCAGGAAAATGTTGTCCATAGCTGCCAGAGGTACGTGGCACAAGCACTGGCACATTCCACAGGAGACACGACCCATTCAAGCCACAGTGACAGAACACACGGGAATCCAAACCCCTTTTTCCAGTTGCTGACCTCAGGTCCTCTCATGAAACTAAGAAGGGTCTTAATCACTCTCCTGTAAATCACATTAAAAATGAAAAGTATTTAATATGATAAATATCAGAACACTGTAACATTTACAAATGACATAGGAAACAACGGCTATTGATTGAACCAAGATGCCTCCATTCGGGGCTCTTTTATGTATTATCAAATTGAAAAAGAAAATTTTAAACGTTGTATTACAGATATGTTTCTGATTTTTTTAAAAACCTATTTTACAGCATTACCTTTGTACTTAACAAATAATGCAGATTGGTTATTTCTTGCATTTTCCTTGACAGCTTTGTTCTCTATATATTGTCTCAACACTTCCCCTGTTCCCCCATATGGTTAGGGAATTAAAACAATCAAAACAGTCCCTGATACGAAAATGTTCTCACCCTTTCTCTTCTCTCTCTTCTTTCCACTTTCCTGCTATAAAATGTTAAAAGTAATACCCAACACTTCTCTGACCGAATTTCCAAACCTAGGCCACTGCAATGCCTCCCGGGATCAGTGGGTCTCCCACAGCACCATCATTTGGGATGTTTAGGATGGACAGAGGTATGACCGTCTCTGCCCTTAAAGGGGTTACAATCCGGCCAGCAGACAGGACACTAAAAGGTGGATAAGGAATTAAGTGCCAAAAGAAGGCTGGAGATCTGACTTCTCTTTGGGACTGTGGTCTTCACAATAACTCCTGAGTCTGTTTATGAAGCCTCTATCCAGTCCTTTCTAAATGGTTAACAACTTGTTTACGTGAAGAAAGGAAACCAGCTTCTTTCCAGCTCCCTCCCTTGAAAGTTCAGGACAGTGCAGCCTAGCCAGCCGGACACAGGGCCCAAGTGCAGTGTCTAATCTTGCTTCGTCAGCCATATGCCGCAGAATCGCAACATCTTCCATCCCAATGCATCAGCAGTCAAGCACAAAAGGCCAGCGGTAATGCATCTTTACATGATAAGAACAGACAAAACAAAACCGCTTTTTAAAACAAGAGGCCGGTTGACAGTCACAGGGAAAGCTCCTCCTGGGCTTAGTGTTGCTTGTGCAGGAAATGGCTTCTGTGTATACAGCAAGCACCTATGTCTGAGAAGCCAGCAGTGGGGACTTTGAATGAACGTAAAATCAGTGCCATTCTAAGCTCTCAAGGTAACATTCTATAGAGCTCAGGGAAGCTAGCTCCAGAGGTGAGAAGTTATTGTATGGTTAAGCTCTTCTCCGGCCCTTCTTTGTAAGACTACATTTTTCCTTGTGGCTTTCAACCAATGGCTCAAGTCAAGCGACTTACATGAAGTTTTTACTGAAGAGCTGGGAATGAGAGTTTGGAGTGAGTGCCCTTGTTGGAAAATGTCCTGTTGCCTGCATTTGATAAACGAGCCACCTTTGCTAACAGGAGCAGGAATTAAGGGGCACGGGGAAAAGAATTGGTACCAGCCGAAGAGATTTTCATGTTATGGTTGAACATCTGTTGAACCACCAGGTGCCAGCTGAGAGATGGGCACAAAGACACAAGCCACACCAGAGAAGGCACTTGAGGAAACAGCTACAGCTACCGGATATGAAAGCAGAGTGTCAGCGAAAGGTCAAGAAGAGGCTTTGATTTCCCTCTATAAGAGGATCAGTTCTTTTCTAGTCTTCCGCTTGTTCTTCCGGGGTAAACATGTTCATGGCTACTTTATGTCTCAGACCTCCAAATGATTAGCACCTGGTTTGAACCTCCTCATATGTGCTCCTTTTCATCATCCTACCAAGCAGTTTTCAAAAAGAAAGGCAGCAAATTATCAAATCAAATTATTCATTGAATTCCAGTTAACCAGCCAAATATAGGTCACAAACTGCCATCCCAGGAGAACGAGCTGATCCTGGAATCGGTGAGAAACGATAATAGTGAGGCTTGCCAATTTGGACTAAAAAACAATGGGCACCATTTTTTAAATGACATTTGGGGAGTGAGGACCCTGAGAGTCAGCTGACAGAGGCCCAACCCTTCCTCTTTCTCCCTGCTTTGCTCTGTGACTTTTGCCAAGTCGCTGAACCTCTGTCCTCCTTTGCCTATATTTAAGTTAGAGCTGTTTTACCGACTTTATAAGACAATTGTGAGGGGCCCCGATTCCTGACGGGAGAATACTTGGAAACCCAAATATAAGGGCCAGAGTCAACGGAGCCTATAGTAGAAGACGTGCTTCCGGGTTGTGGTTGTAAGTCACATCCAAAGAAACAACGTGGCCATGTCGGGGAAGGCGGAGATATGCGGGGCATCGCTGCACAACCAACTGCTGAGTTATTCATCAGGTAGAGTGCCAAGGGGCCAACTGTCAACACTTCGAGAGGCAACACAGCCCGGACAGAGCCAGAGAAATCAGGACTTCGCGTGCATAAAGCCCTCAGTTCCCACTCATCCGCCTGCAGTTTACCCCGGCCCTCGGTGTGATTAACTGGCTTCTAAGTAAGATAGTACAAACAACAAATGTGACTTTTTGCGTAGCCTGCTGGCTCTGCATGATAACGTTGGAAACGTCCTATTCCTTACCTAGCAGTATTTTTTGGATATAAGTGGTATGTAAACCGATGGTAGAGTTGAAAAGTTGGTTAACTCCCGTTGAGCACAGACTGTCAGAGGAATAAAGGCAGAAGGGTACCTAGGTATTAATGTCTAACATGCATTCACAAGTTTATTTTCCAGATGAAAATGTTCTTTAAGAACAGGTCTATGGACGGCCTGCACCATTCTCAAGCCTTGGGTTATTTCTAGTCAGTGCTGGACTCTGGATGGCTATGAGAACACGGAGGCCCCTCTCACGTAGGCCGAGACAGTTCCCAGTGTCGCTCAGTCTAAGTTTTCTTTCTTCACGTTTTCCATTTTTTCAGTGAGCATGGTGACAATGGAGGTTAGCGTTGTGAAAAGTTGGCGTAAATATTCTTTCTGTAAAGTCAATGAGGGTCCCATTCCTGTGAAATAACACAAAATTTCACTCTCTAAAAGCAGCAGCATGTAAACTAGAATGAAAGAAGGAAATTATGTATGTATGCCTAATATTCTTTGTGAATGTTCTTTCATTTAACTAAAATTATATTAGAAACCAGATTGATAAATAAAAAATCCAAAATAGTTTTAATTATCCTAAAAGTGGTTTTCTGTGTTTTGTTCCACTCGATTCTCTTAGAAGCAATTATCAGCTTTCAGCAAAGAAAGTTCCAAGCCCTGAAATATACATCTCTTGGGAACATAATCTTTCCAAAGCTGTGAAGATACAGCCCCTCCTCCAAGCAGGTATTATATAGATGCACCCACTGTTAACCTTCCTTGGCCACACACTCCTCTCCTCTCCCAATTTTCTTAAAGTGCTTCATGGATATTGGCTTCACGTTTTGGTTTAATGTACACACAGCTTGGTAAAATGTGGACAGAGTCCAGCGATGTCCAGAGCGTATTCTGAGCCTTATTCGGAATGAGGAAGTAACACTGGATGATGGACACATGGGTCCAGGCCAGTGAACTAGATCCCAGGGCTCTGCACTGCCTGGAGGTGCGGACCTTCCTAAATGTGCTCCGTGTGTATTAAGAGCTGTCGTCCTGAGTTATCACCAC